GTAAAAATGATTTTTTTCCCCTCATGTCGATTCATAGGATAAACCCAATACTTAGTTTCCTATTGAAACAAAGAGTAAATATAGAATCGGTTTAATTGGTGTTCGTATTCAGTTCAATTGAAGTAAATTAAATTAGGTTGAATGTAAGTTTTGTATTAGTAGTAGTCGTAAAATAATATTTCAATAAAATATTTGTATGATTTTGCCATTATGCATAAATAAAAATCTGGTAAAAATTCGTTGTGCAACCAATTTTTTACTATTATTTACACCGAATACATGTGTTGTGTTAACTTCAGATCCAATTTTTTAATAACTGCTTAAGTGTTTTTAACAACAATTTTACACAAAATTGTATTACGGATTAGTCATATAACATACGCCTACTCGCACAAAAAAAAATGTATATTTTCTGAAAAATTGGCTCTACTTTTTATTTTATAATTGGTAATCAGTGTAGGTTTCCTTGGTAAACGAAAAATATTCTTTGATTATGATACATTTTTCTCGGCAGCAAAAAATGTCGGAGTAAAATGTTATTCATTGTTAGTAGGATATCTTTCTGAACAACTTGTCAAAAATGGCGTTAAAATACACTGGAACATGTTGTCAGAACTAGCTTTTCTGCTTAACTTATCCTTCTCTGGAAGTCAATACGATTTATTAACTTAAAATATAAATTTAAGTTAACTTTTATTTTGTATCTACAAAATGTACTTAACTTAATTCACTATTGAAAAAATGAATTGATAAACGCGCCGGTACCGACGGCTTTTAAACTGCGCCGGTGTATCTAGAATTATCTAGATAATGTCCCTATTATTATGTTTAGTGAAATGTTCTCGAACCACACGTGGGTGTGTGCATTTTGTATTGCCTATTGACTACTTAGAATAGCCAATTGTTTGAAAAATTGATATTGGCCGCCAGTATCAATTTTGTAAAGATATACGAGTTCTTTGGTAACTTAACTAGGTTATGTAGGAAACAATTTTTTGTTTTTTATTTTGTTCGTGTAAGGAATATTAAGTTTTAATATTATTAAAACAATTGAACATTTAATTTTTCAAAAACATTGATTTTACTTTCTTTTTCAATGTCGTATGATTTAAACCAATGTTTTTTTTTGACGTTAAATAGTACCATGGAATAATTTGAATTTTTGCAGAAATTTTGATACAAAAATAAACGAGTAAAATAAAATTTTGTTTTGCCTGTTTTGGTTGTGGTGGAATACACTTACTTCCGTTTTTGCTGGGTTGGGTTTTAGTGAGTTCTGTGTATAGAATCTGTCCAAGTTCTCCAGCGCATGTGTGAGTGTCTGTTCCACTTCACTGAAAGTTTTGCCCTGCGCAGTTATCGCTAAATCGTCGGCATACAGGAAACGGCGAGTAGTTTCCATAATGGGCTGGTTATTTGTAAAGACACATTAAAGAGTATTGGTTCGACGACACTATCTCGCAGGAGGCCATTTTTTAAATTTCTCCATCGGCCTTTTTCGGTCTTGTAGTCTAACATGGCATCTTCTATTGCGACTCATTGACTCAATTACTCTCGTTAATAGACGAAATCTATTAAAAAAAAAAACATTTTTGGATATTTAAAAAGCTCGGAATTTTACCAGATGATTTATAAGCTATCCGAATAGAATAAATAATTAAATTGGCTTTTAGAAATCATTGTTTATTATTAGGTATTGTTGTTATCTATTATTTATAACAGTATTCAGTTATTTTTTGTCAGCAAGTGTCAAGAACTTATCCGTTTGATCGACTTGAAGAATCCAACTGATTTTGCGAAAATATGGATAAGATGGTGTTAAATTCAGCGCTAGTGGCCGGAGGGTTCGTGGCAGGAGCTGGAACTTACGGCCTGGTGCAATATGCGGTGGGTTGGTGGCGCAGCTCACGATTGACGGTACGTATGAATTAAAAAAATATTTCACTGTCATACTTAAGGAAACGGTCGCACACACAACTCCGCTTGACAATCTTTACGTGTTAAGGTCGGGTCCGAGCCGGGATCTGTCCGGGTGCAAGAAAACGATTATCCATTGAGTTTTTGCGCCACTGCGCCCAAATTACCTTGCTTTAGGTAAACTGCGCCCCGTTTATAATTTGGTTTAAAAAAGGTTACATGTTACAAGCTGCGCCCAGCTTCTTATCGTCGGTATGAAATGCAAACAGCGCCCGAATCAATACAATCGCAGAAATATTAATATTTGGCCTCGGATGAAGATAAACGGACGTCGCTTTCATTTAACGCAATCGTGGTTTAGACATATCCAACAAAATGGCTCGAGTATTGACTATAACTTATAAACAGTGATATTAAAAAGGGAGGGGGGATTAGTTCAATGCTTAAGTGGAAATATTACTGAACCACCTTCGCCCCTGTATTTAGGTACGAATGTACGAATATATATATATATATATATATATATTCATATATTTACGAGCGTTTTAGGTCGGGTTGAGAACTTTTAATCTGCAAGAGATAAGAGAGATAATTATACATAAGAACATATTATTATAGATTTATTTTTCGGATCTAATTACAAAAAATGTATCCACTATTTGGTATAATAAAATAATAGGTAGTACAAATATTAAGTTTAACATTTAGAGTTTATTAAATTTTATTTTATTAGCAGAAATGCCGTGCAGAAATAATAAAAAAATCTAAACGTATTTTATTATACCTAACATTAATTGATGTTGTCGTACAAAATGGCGCACGCCCGTCTATCACGTGCGTGCGCTCAAATGGCACCTTCTGATTGGCTGATTGTGTAAACGAAAAACAGCAGCCATTTTCTAACAAGGAGAATTACTTTGAAATGTACACATTTTTTCATATATCTTAAATCAACCTATTTTCTAGCCTCCAGCAAAATCTATATGTGGTGCGATTGGGCGTAATCGGTCCCGGGACTGAGGGGTACTGGGTTCAAATCCGGTTCCACTTCCCATGACTTTCTGCATTTTTTTACAACTTTTTTTCAACTCTTATGGTAATTTATATTGCAAGAAGTCTAAGCACTTATAAAATAATTATATTTTACTACTACAGAGTACATTTTTACCCTTAAAAGTTACCCTCGCGCCAATACGTTTAAAATACATTTTCATCATCAGACGCTGAACTCTAACAACGCGTTAGTGAGTCCGGGGAACGTTAAGTTGGTGTCGTTCTAGCAGGGTACAGTAAAATTATATTAAATTGGTTTGTTGATTTTTAGGTTAGTCGTTAGATTCGTGTCGGTTTCAAATGTTGTTGATTCATTGTTTGAGGATTGTCGTGCCGGCCATTAGCGTTTGTAATAATTGTTCCTTGCGGAGAAAAACAGGTATGCACAGTATTGAGTCGCTACACTGCTGTTCACCCCAAAAATTGTAGTCCCTATAACTTACAGGCCTCAGAGTGGTCGCGTGGGTAGAACTAAGCTAATACTGTGCGTATCCTGAAAGGTATATATTATTATTTATTTTATACCTGTCTTCATTTAACAACTGGTGTAGATCTGGATCAAAATCTGCTAGTAATTTACTATCACTTTCTCAGTTAGTCTTAACAGTTTTAAATACTGTAACCATGGTTTAACTACAGAGCAATCACTAATATCAGTGTTATTAGGCTGCATATCGATTTTCAGAGAACTACTATAAATATCTACTATTTTAAAATCGATAAGAACTGTTTGACAAATAGATAAATATTTAAAAAAATTTATTTTTATAACTGCTTTTGTTCTTTAATCAGGACCTAGACTGAAGGTATCTAAGTTAGAAATTGTGCCCCAAAATTCATCTTATAGTGCCCTTTTAGCAGGGCGTCGCCCTGCCCGCCCCCCGGTAGTTTCGGCACTGGTAAACAATACAAATTATTAATTGTACTTCTGCTTTTTTTTTTACTTCAACCTAACAAAAATTACATTCTTCGGTTCTTTTTTGTTTATTCAAGGCGTTTAAAATAGGCTACATGGAGCACATAAAATTGCCTATTTTACAGCCGTTAAGGCACCTGTATTCAATACTTCCTGTTCTGTGTCGCTAAACTGTTTTGTAACATCTCTATTAAGCATCGACAAGCATTAAGCAACCTTGGTAGGCAGTAGATAAATGGGATGCAATATTGATTGAGATAGCGGTAAGCAAATTGGATAGGTTGACTCTACAACAATGGGAACTGTCGTTGGGCACAACTGATGTAGTTCCATTTTTCCAGTTTGAAATTTTTCTCAACTCTCGTATTAGATTACTTGACGCGTTTGAAAGTGGTCAGCGAGGACTTGTTGTGTTTAAATCCGACGAGCACAAATCTACCGGCTTAAAGAATAAATTGTGTTTATTACTCAAAGTTCTCCCTCACAATGTCCATTATGTCGCGGTGATCACTTGTTTCATCGATGTTACAAGTTCCGGAGTATAAAGGTTTCTGAATAATATGAAGTAGCAAAGGGATCGCGCATCTGTTTTAATTGTTTGTCACCTAACCACAATACAAAGGGTTGTTCGTCAAGCAACTGTCGCACTTGTTCAGCTCGCCATCATACTTTGCTGCATTATGATGCAATTAAGCGAACATCAAATGTTCAACCTAAAGAGAAACCAACACAATCCCTAGTTAAAGACTCAACAGAAAACTATCACCCTTTTTCGTCCTTAGTATTATTATTAGTCGACATAAAAATTAGCTGTGTACAGAAATCAGTCATACATTATAAAAATAATGAGGGCAGTAATAGCACAGTGCTGGCGTTACATTGAACTAACAATATCCTAAATTTACAGGTTACAGTCTAGTACCTTTATCTATCACTTCCCTACGTGAAATAAAATTTGTTGACAATTGTACGCCCCATAAGCTGTGGTAGTCTATTACAGTTGTGATACAAAATAACTTAGTATGCCAAATCTAGAGTAGAGAAATATGAATACATTGGGTTTTTTTTTTACATATATTTAAATATTGTATTAATTAGTTTTGTTTGCGTTTAGGGAGAGGAACATAATGTAGAACCGCACCCAAATGAACCTATATTAACAACAGAACACAGAGTAGACGAGGAAGTCGAGGAGGTCCCACGTGGACCAAAGCCAGATTTGGTAAGTCTAAAATACTAGAAATTGACTATGGCCAAATTTTATTCCCCCTTTTTTACAATTCATCAATGCTTATAGACTAATTTCCTTAAAAGGGTTGGTTCATTTTTCTTCCCACTGGCTTTCCTGGTACCACACTTCGTTCCATTGAACTAAAAATATCCTAAATTTACAGGTTACAGACTAGTAGCCTTATCAATCGCTTCCCTACGTGAAATACAATTTTTTACGATTGTACTCCCCATGAGCTGTGGTAGCCTATTACAGTTGTGATAAAAAATAACTAAAAATGCCCAAACTGGAGAAGAAAATTATAAATACATTGGGTTTTTTTTTTACATATATTTAAATATTGTATTAATTAGCTTTGTTTGCGTTTAGGGAGAGGAACATAATGTGGAACCGCGCCCAAATGAACCGATATTCATAAGAGAACACAGAGTAGACGAGGAGGTCGAAGAGGTCCCACAAGGACCAAGGCCGGCTTTAGTAAGTCTAAAATACTAGAAATTGACTATGGCCAAATTTTATTCCCCCTTTTTTTACAATCCATAAATGCTTATAGACTAATTTCCTTAAAAGGGTTGGATAATTTTTTTTTATTTTGTTTTTTAATTGAAGTTTTTGGGGTTTAAAAAATCTGAAAATTAGACCATAGGTAAATTTAAAATATACAATTATATAAACTTTTTCTTTATTTTGTTTTTCAGCAACGTTATATGAATAACAGAGTAACGATATTAATAACAGAACACAGAGTAGACGAGGAGGTCGAAGAGGTCGCACGTGGGCCAAGGCCGGATTTGGTAAGTCTAAAATACTAGAAATTGACTATGGCCAAATTTTCCCCCCTCTTTTTACAATCCATAAATGCTTATTAACTAGTTTCCTTAAAAGGGTTGGATACTTTTTCTTTATTTTGTTTTTTAATTGAAGTTTTTGGGGTTTAAAAAGTCTGAAAATTAGACCATAGGTAAATTTAAAATATACAATTATATCAACTTTTTCTTTACTTTGTTTTTTCAGCCACGTTATATGAATAACAGAGTAACGATATCAATAACAGAACACAGAGTAGACGAGGAGGTCGAAGAGGTCGCACGTGGACCAAGGCCGGATTTGGTAAGTTTAAAATACTAGAAATTGACTATGGCCAAATTTTTTTTTTTGCCTTTTTTTACAATCCATATATGCTTATTACGCAATTAGCGCTCAGTGATACTAGTCGGTCCGTGGTCGTAAGGGACCACCTTTGGGGAGAACCACAAAAGCCAAGGTACGCCCAGCCCATACACTTATAAACTAATTTCCTTAAAAGGGTCGGATACTTTTTCTTGCACTTGCTTTCCTGTTACCACACTTCGTTCCATTGAACTAACAATATCCTAAATTTACAGGTTACAGTCTAGTAGCCTTATCAATCACTTCCCTACGTGAAATACAATTTTTTACGATTGTGCACCCTATAAGCTGTGGTAGTCTATTACAGTTGTGATAAAAAATAACTAAATATGCCAAAACTGGAGTAGAGAAATATTAATACCTTGTGGTTTTTTTACATATATTTAAATGTTGTATTAATTAGTTTTGTTTGCGTTTAGGGAGAGGAACATAATGTAGAACCGCACCCAAATGAACCTATATTAACAACAGAACACAGAGTAGACGAAGAGGAAGTCGAAGAGGTCCCACGTGGACCAACGCCGGATTTGGTAAGTCTAAAATACTAGAAATTGACTATGGCTAAATTTTCCCACTTTTTTTACAATCCATAAATGCTTTTAAACTAATTTCCTTAAAAGGTCTGGATACTTTTTTTTGCCACTTGCTTTTCTGTTACCACACTTCGTTCCATTGAACTAAAAATATCCTAAATCTACAGGTTACAGTCTAGTAGCTTTATTAATCGCTTCCCTACGTGAAATAAAATGTTTTACGATTGTACGCCCCATAAGCTGTGGTAGTCTATTACAGTGGTGATAAAAAATAACTAAATATGCCAAAACTGGAGTAGTGGAATATTAACACCTTGGGTTTTTTTTTTCATTTAATTAAATATTGTATTAATTAGTTTTGTTTGCGTTTAGGGAGAGGAACATAATTTGGAACCGCACCCAAATGAACCAAAACCTATTACAGTAAGTCTGAAATACTAGAAATATATTGTATGAACTTAAAGCCTTATCGATTGCATCCCTACGTGGAATATAAACTTTTGGCGACTGTTCGCCTTATAAGCTGTGGTACTCACAGCTGGGTACTGTATTACAGTTGTAATATAAAAATAAATATGCCAAAACTGGAGTAGAGAAATATTATTACCTTGTGTTTTTTTTGCATATATTTAAATAATGTATTAATTATAGCTTTGTTTGCGTTTAGGGAGAAGAACAGAGAAGAGTTGACATAGAGGACGAAGAGGTCCCACAAGGACCAAGGCCGGATTTGGTAAGTCTAATATACTAGAAGTTTACTATGGCCAATTTTTTTCCCCTCTTTTTACAATCCATAAATGCTTATTAACTAATTTCCTTAAAAGGGTTGGATAATTTTTCTTTATTTTGTTTTTTAATTGAAGTTTTTGGGGTTTAAAAAATCTGAAAATTAGACCACAGGTAAATTTAAAATATACAATTATATCAATTTTTTCTTTATTTTGTTTTTTCAGCGACGTTATATGGAAAGGTTGGTTAGAGAAGAGGTAAGTACCAAAAATAAAAATTTGTCGTTTAATGAGATACTATGGGAATACGACCCTAGAATGCATGGACATTTAATCGACTATACTGGAAGATTCATTATGGATAAGACAATCAATTTCTATTAAACTATTTCGAATTTTGTAGTTTTTCAATTGAAAACTTTTGTTTATGTTATTTTACAATATGAGGTCGTATTCAAATATGTATCTTTCTGATTTTCTCTCAGAGCTCTATCAACTTTTTAAACTTAAATGGTAACATCTATGTATATTTTATTGGCTCTTTTAATTAGTTAAGTGCGGTAAAATTGTAAAATTCTCCTTCCCCTCTCCATATTTATTAAATATTTATTGTTATTTCAAAAATTTTTAATCAAGTTATCGCTTATTTAAAAAGTTTATCAAATATTTATACATGGAACCTGAGTTTTAAGAGTTGATTACACCCTGGAAAGTTGTTAATAAAACAATTTTTTGATAATTTTCAGAGAAGGATGCATGCTTGTATGAGGTGCAAGGAGTTCGGGCACCTCGGGCACCAGTGCCATCTGCCCTGGGTGGAGTCCAAAGAAAGTCCCGAACATTATGCAAGAAGAACCAGGGGGCGCCGTAGGCGTTAGAGATCACTCTAGTGATCTCAGTACATGCACCGTTCTATACCCTGTTCGCTAAGAGAGCATGCCGGGCAGTGTTGGGCAAAATCGTAATCATAATTACCATTACGTTTATAATCATGAAAATTTTAAGGTGTGATTACGATTACGCCCAACACTGATGCCGGGTTTGCGCGTGTAGACTGAAGACTAAGTAGCAAGACTAAGGCAGGCAGACAGAGCGGACTTACGGGGGAACGTTAGTCACATGCCGCAACCCAACGAAAATTGGCCGTTCTGCACACCCCCCCCCCCCCCGTGGCACCAAGTGTGACTAACGTTTCCCCCGAAGTCCGCCCTGTCTGCCAGGCTTAGTCTTCAGTCTACACGTGCCAACCCAGCATGCTCTCTTAGCGAACAGGGTATAAAATGGTGCATGTACTTTTTGGCCTGGCTTTGATACCGGCACATCAAAGCCGACTAGGCCCTTATTTTGGTCGCCGGGGTTCCCACTCTAGCCGCATCTTCTCCGACTTCGATACCTCCTACCACTCTACCTCTAGTCCGCCAAATGCTTTTAATCTCCAGTTCTCCGGTTGTATCGGTCCAACCACCACTCCTTATGTCCTGGGTACTTGACCCTTTAGCTCATCCGTCGTCACTCTCCTCCGGCCGCCTCTTGTTGGCGCATTGAGAGGTGGCGAAGACACTCTTGTGGCGATCTCCTATCAACCTCGCTCCATTCCACAAGTTGCTCATGAACCTTACTCGCATGTCACTGGCCAGGCCAGTGGGAAGAGCCGGCGACATTTCGGCTACCGACTACCGTTTGACAGTGTTGGGCAAATGTAATCTGTTTAATTATTACGATTAATAATAGTAATCAGTAATCACCGTGTTAGATTAATACAATCATATAAATGTAATCATGATTACATTAATCTTTCAAATGTGATCATGAAATGATTAATGATTATATTTTTTTAACCGCCATAGGTTTTATGTATTACATAATACATATATAAAAAAAAATATATGGGATGTCTAAGACGATTTGACCTTTGCAATATCATCTAGACAATTATTATTATTTTGTAATAAGCCTGGGGCGGTTAAACAATTTTTTTTGTAATGTTTTCATGATTACAATTAAAAATATAATCATGATTACTGATTACTTTTACAAAATGATAAAATGATTAATGATTAATTTAATCATGATTACAATGTTGTAATCGATTACGTAATTCAATAATAAATTAATCGGTTACGCCCAACACTGCCGTTTGAAGGGAATGCCCTTCAAACAATACTACAATATACATGTATTCTTTTTTTTTTGTCCTTTTAAGCATTTTTGTATTGTCGTACCTATTGCACCACACCTTCAGTTTTGCGCAGGCGAACCCTCCCACTTCTGATGTGATGTGGTGTAAATAGATGAATAAAAGCCATTTAAATACAAACTCCACCCCATTGCATTGTAATAACTTCAAAGTTAACATTATACATTTTTTTTTTATAAAAATTGTTATAATATCTAATGTAAAAAAAAATATTATGTAAAACCATCTGGTTAAAATCATATTATTCTTGATAATATGTGTGTATAATAAGATACAATAACCGTAATGTTAATAAATACAGTACTAATTGCTAAACAAAAAAAAATGTTTTTTATTTAACTAAAATACATTGATAATAATATACAAGGTAATGCATTGTTTAAAACCAATTGCGTAATGTAAACATTTTATAAAAAGTACAGTGTTGTTTAGGGCTTAAATTTATGTGAAATAAACACGTTGGGTATTCATCATCAGAGTGTAATTGATCTATGCGAGGACAGACAATATCTTCAAGGTTAATTATGTTAATATGTGATAAACTCATGTAAAATATCTTTTTTCTGTAGTCCATATATGGTTGTAAATGTTAAAGCATTTAAAATTATTGATAGTTCTTCCGCTTCATAATGAGGTGCCATTGAGTGAAGGTGTTTCGTTAGCCATTTGTTAACATTTTGTGTTTTAATGTTTAAAGATTGTGTAAAACAATGTTTAAATATCCAATGTTGTGTCACCCATGTGTCAGTTGCAATTACCGATCATTTTTTTATTAAGTATTTATTGTCTGACGTAATAATACTTGTCCTTTATCTCTTATTCCTTATCTCTCATCAGACAACAGCGTAACAAGAATGTCTAGAGGTCAGTCGGCTAAATGTCTGTTATGGTTTACCTTTGTGAAACAAAATTTGTTCGTAGTATGTTATATGTCAGTACACGGCGGTTCTGAGGGGGGTGCCCGGCTACGCCGGCCATGGTGTAGTGACATATTTTATATTTAATAGATAAATTAATAATATATTCATATTTTTTTGATCCATATATTTAAATCCATAAATTGATATTTTTTTAGATGGCTAACCAACAGTTCATCCTACTAAATGATCATAATTAAAAATTTTAAAATAATTTTATTATTCATCATGTAGTATTAATTTTAAAAAATATAGCAAAACTATAGAGTTTTAACTTTTTTAGGGTGGAGCGAATACTTATATTATACTTCTATAAATAATAAAATAATAAATTAAATTTTGATGTTGAATTTCAGTATAAATTTAAAAATGTATTATTCTTATTTTTGCTATTTATATTCAGTGCTTCAGATATTATAATATTAATAATTTATTAAATGCAAAATTAGTATCAATAAAAATGATAATATTTTAATAATAATAATAATATTTTATTTTTTATGTTTTAATAATGCCCAATGTCTAAAATCACACCATATTAAAAAAAAATAAGTCAATATTAATAAGTGTCTAATTTAGTTCCATCCATAAAAAAATAGAAAATATTGCAAATCAAATAAAACACAAAATACAAAAAATAAGTTTTTCAAATTTAAAAGAACGTTTAATTCGCGTGGCGTCATTGGGCCGAGCTCAATATGAAAATAATGAGCAATAATCAGTATGAGCTCTATGTGTAAATGAAATATCAATAATAAAATGTATAGGTTAGCGAATCATTGTGTAAAGCGAGCTACTTTACACGTGTAAGATAGGCAATTATGGCGAGCTCGCCCCAATGACGTCACGAGGCTATTCTAAATATCCTAATATGTCCTTAAATAATAATTTTTTTTGCATCGGATTTTGAACAAATCGTTTTTAATAGTTCTGACTACAATAATTTAACATTTAATAATAATTTAAAACAATTGTTTTTTTGTGTTGAGTGCTTCTTTAAAGAAAGTGAAGAAGCGCCAATGTGCTACACCCTGTAGATTCCGAATTCGTACGGTCCGTGCTAATACGGTCAGTGTCATTTCAGATTCCGTAGAAGTACGGCCCGTGGTTTTACGGTTTTGTTTTTTCCGCGTTAGTACGGTCTGTAACAATACGGTCCGAGTGTTTATGGATTCCGTAAAAATACGGTCTGCCACATTACTGTCCGTAGCATTATAAACAGGGCAAGATGTTTTTTATTGTACGGTATTAATACTAACCTAACCGCCACCACGTGGTACAGGTAGGGTTAAGCGGGACGAATGTAAAAGCGTTTTTTTCAAATGTCAGTAAAAGTATTGAGTTAAAGCTAAAAGTAATTGTCGACGGTATCTAAAAATAGGTTCACTACATGTGTTCTGTTGTATAGCGGTATTAATAAAAACGATCCGATAACATGCGATATTGCTACAAATTATATTTGCATAAAAAAACAAACCAGTAAACTTGTGAAATACAAAATCATATTATTTTACAATATTATGTAGTTTGTGTTCCAAGTTGGTATAAGACGGGTTACGCACCATGGCTGTGGCGTACAGCTGCTTGGAGTATATACAATTAGTTTATACAATAATAATATAAGTTATGTGAAAATTGTTAATGTATGATAACATTATATGATATGTGAACGTTTCAAATGAAAAACAATAAAAATTACAATGACACTGACGATTATCCATACTAGAAACATCGGCAGAAATACCATGATAGTCAGAAGTTTCAGCAACAGTGCATAAGAAGTCAATACAAGTAGCAAAGGTGCAATAGCCGTGAGTAAGAGTACCAGTATGACAATACTAGCCAAAAGCAGCAAAATAGCTACTACACTGACCACAATTGCGTAACACACCTTCACGAATAGGCCTTTGCCCATTTCTCGGATGCCAGTCAGAAAGGTCGTTCCAACAACCTGTTAAATACATTTGAAGAATACAGCGATAGAGTTAAACTCAAAAATTAATTTTAAACTTAAAAGTTCTGGTCGGTGGGGTAGGTATATAACTGTTAAAAACGAAATAATATGTAAATTTCTATGAGAAGTTTATTACCTGTGTGTCGACCTGCAGGATCGGAAAATTTGGTTTTCCAAATTCAATAAGTGA